TGTCCGAGGGAGGAGTCTTTTGATATCCCCCCTGCCTTCCCCAGACTTTGACAGATGCAAAACTCATATATTTTTTGGTGATGGGGGAGGAGAAGAGGGGAACCATACCCAGCAGGATGAATTACTGCCCTTACCTCACTGAAGGCCACATCACATTGATTAGTGAGCTGACCAGGAGAATCATAAGTTTGGGCACAAACAAAGTGATTCTTAAATGAAACCAGCAGCACATGAAATGCAGGGAATAAAAGAAAAAGCTCTGTTGCAGGAGGAAGCTCAAACATACTTTTCAGAATCCAGTCATCCCAAAGAAATTATTAAACTCTGTTGTTTCTGGATACACTTGGCCTTAAAATATTAACATGTGCTTTTTGTTTTATGCCTCAGAATGCATGAAATGGATTAAAAACACCCAAAATGGTATGAGCAATCTCTTAAGCACTAGCTAGTTAAACTGCTAATCTTGTGCTTTAGTATGAAAGGTAAAGGTTTAGGTTTTTCAATCATATGAGGCATCATCCTACAGTTCATGTGTTAGGCATCTCCCCTGTCCGCTGGCAACATTATTTGTGCATGCTTGTAACATTTTCACTTAATTAAGAAAAACCCAGAAGCATAAGGACTTCAGATTTTTATGCTTTACAGAGCTGGGAGTTTACCTGTTTTCTCTCAGTTTTACGAAGGTGAAATGCAGCATTTTACGGGCAAAATGTGGCAATTTCTGTTACTGCTCAAACTTTGTCACAGTGTTGTTTTTTTTTTCCTCTCTGTCAGTAATTACTCCTGTCGGTTTGCGTGTGCTCAGAGTAATGACACACACACAAATAACCCGCCACACTCTGTGACTCACCGAGATGCCCTCACAGAAATGGTCTTGGTCACCCTCCGTGCACCTAAAACACCGCGGAGGGAACTTTTCGGTGGGGGAATCAGCGGTGCTTTAACCGTGAATAATAAAAAGTCTGAGGAAAAATTCGATTTAGACTCCCCCCTCCCTCCCCCCCTTCCCCAAACCTGTATAAATATTTTGTTTTAGCTGCGTTTGAAAGGCAGAGTCAATGAGTTTCATCCTTTGTTTCGGCCATAATAGCGTCTTGTTTGAAGTTGCTATTTCAAGCCAGGGAGAGCCGGGCCTTTATTTCTCAGAGATGTTATTTCCTGAGAGCCTTTATGCCGCGAACTTACAGCCGGTCACTACTGGAGCTTCATTGTCAATTGTCTTTCAGGGGCACAAATACACAGCCTTTCCTTTCAAATTCAGGATGGCTCTGTTTATTTACGCTGCTGAATGCAAATGAGCGGGGAAGAGCATCACTGGGGCTGTAGGAACAGGGAGGAGGCACAGGGTTATCAGCTGTGCCGGACCCCTGAGTGCCCACCACACACCCATGGGGGTCCACCAGCAAGGGCGGCTCCAGCCAAACCCTCCTCCTGGAAGCAGCAGCAGCAGGAGGAGGAGGAGGAAGAAGAAGAGGAGGAGGAGGAGGGACACGTGCACCCCGAACATACTCAGGCAGAGGAGCTGAGCCAACATGCAGATGAGGGAGTGACACATACTTTGACAGCACGACAGGGATTTTCACTCCTCTGTGTCCTCTCCCCGTGGCGCAAGAGGAATTCTGGAGGAGTAAGTCATCGCTGCTCCGGAGCACCGGCTGCAATGCAGCTCTTCCACATACCTCTCCGTGCTCCAGACCTCCACATTTTTAGGATCTTATTCCCCCTCTTTGTTGTCCCCTGTAAGAATTTCGTGTGCAGGCGCCATTCCGTGGGATGCCCTGACCATCAGCTGCTGCTCTTTGCCTGCAAGGAACCCACAAGTCAGCTTTGCAGCTGCTCAAATCAGAAATATGGGGCCAAGTGACGCCCCCCTTGGACAACAATCCTTTGCTTCCAGGCCAAAATGCCATGTTCTTAGGTACTTAAAAAAAAATTCTAACAAGTTCCTTTATTAATTTTCTACAAGAAGGTAATTGCCCAGCTTATTTCTGAGACACCACTGCAGAGAAGGACGGTTAAAAACCAGAAATAACTCCTTAGCACTCACTTGCAACGTGGGTCCTCATTCAAATAAAAAAATTATGAATAAGAAGCACTGAAAAAAAGTCTTATTTATCTGGACTACCACAGAAAAGGGGACTTTGCAACATGTTGTTCTTTAGTCTTTACCCCTTTTCTTTCCTTTTGCCTTTCTAGCCACTTTACTCTTGAGTACCACCAGTTTTCCCTGCTAAAAAGAATAAAGCACTAATAGATCTGCCACAACAATAACAACAACAAAATCTCAAAAATTTGAAGCTAGATGCTGATTCCATAATTATTCTTAAGTTGATACAACACTCCTGGCTGACAATGTGACAACACATGTAGGAAAAAATAAAAACCAACACGGGTAAGAGCTAAAGAAATTGTGAGGAGGATGGACAATTCCTAAAATAGAACCAAAACCAAAGCAAAGTAATTTTTTCTTTGACTTTCTTTTTCTTAAGCTTAAAAATGTAAACTTTAACTTTAAAATGAGCAGAGGGATCACAGAATTATAGAGTAACTCAGGCTGGAAAGTTGCAGGTCTCAGTTCTGACCTTCTGCTTTGGCCGGTCATGATCAGAGGCTCCCACGGACAGAGCTTTCACTCACACCGGGAACATTCATTTCCAAATATCAAATTGGCATTTTCCCTGCTGCCACTGTGCGCTTCTGGACAAGCCTGGCTCTTTCTTTGCTCTAACCTCCCATTAAGTAGTTGAAACCAGCAATGAGGTTCCCCATTAGGCTGCTCTTTTTCCTCCAAACTAATGAAACCCAGCCCCTCCTCATACATCATGTGCTCCAGCCCACTAAGCACATACCACTTCTAATGGAGCAACAGTCTGTTTGTATACTAACAATAAGTATTATTTAAAGAAATAAAATACTCTTATACAAGAAGGATTTCTCTAAAAATAAGACACTTCAATAGAGCGAAATATGGCCGGGTTAATAATTTTGCTCTGGGTCCCAGAATGTTAATTTAGCAAGAAATAAATAACTCCCAGCCTTTCATCTTATCTTTTTGACAGATGTTTCCCCTATATAAAGGGTGTCATAATTGTTTTTGTCAGTGTTATAATTAAAATTGTTAGGCAGCTGACATACAGTTTTTAATGGTTTCCCTAAGGATTATAACAGATGTTGCCTTATTAGATCAGGACTCTCCTGAAGTAACAAATGTCACTGGCATAATAAAGACACTTCTTTAAGTCTCTCAGACTAGACTGTCACAATTTTGCTGGTAACATTTGACCCTGAGGAGGGAAATATATCCCACTTTTCTACAGAGAAAGTTTTCTGAAGAGTTTGAAGGAAACACTAAAGAATCTTACTCTGGGGTAACAAGTTGTATGGTCCAGCTTTTGCTGCAGACAAAAAGTAACTGGGAAATATAAGAGGGAGCCCTGACAACTGCACAAGAAACTGCAGCTTTTTAAAGACAAAAATGTTTGCAGGTAAAGGTAGAGGATCAGTTGAAATCTAGTGAGGAACTGAGAAGTAGCAGTTGCTGGGCTCCTACTACAAGAAAAGTTACAACTCAATGACACAAGTGTTCATTTGAAATGGGAGGTAGTTTAAATAAAGCAAATGTAATAGCAAGCTTAAAGAACAGCTCTCTAAGTGCAATTTGGATCCCTGATATTCACTGAAAATCCAGAGAAGTCGAGGGGGAAGCAAGAAGAAACTGTGGCTCCAATGGACAGCCAGGCCAGGGGTCTGGGAAGCTCACATGGATCCCCTTGTTTGAATACACCCAAAGTGTTTATTATCATATATAATAAGTCAGTTGTAGGTAATGTGGCAAGAGAATCAGGAAAATTAGGTGGCTCCAACCCAAGAAAAGCCACCCAGGCCCCTTCCTGCACGTCCACCGAGTCTCAGCAACCCCTCAGGGGGAACTCAGTTTGACAAAATAAATGTAACAGAAAGTTACTTCATATTTTTTGTGTCACTGAGCTCCTTGCAGCTTTCCAAGGGCCACCAAATTTTCCTCAAGGTGTGAGGAACGCCAACTCTGTTTCACAGGATCTGAGATTCACAGGCTGAAGCTTCCACATCGCATCTCGTTTATATTAAGAACTCCCCGAAATAATTGTGGAAGGTGCGACATGACATAATCCCTGAAGTTCCACAGCACCAAGTGTCATATTTTACTTCTGAAAATCACAGAATCACTTAGGTTGGAAAAGATCTCTGAGGTTATCCATCCCAAACTTTGATCGATCCTGCCTTGTCTACCAGAACGGAGCTCTGAGTGCCACGTCCAGTCATTCCTTGGACACCTGCAGGGATGGGGACTCCACCACCTCCCTGGGCAGCCCATTCATAAAATCATAGAATTATAAAATCACAGAATGGTTTGGGTTGAAAGGGGACCTTCAGGATCACCCAGTTCCAACTCCCCTGCTGTGGGCAGGGACACCTTCCACTAGACCAGGTTGCTCCAAAGGTGATTAGACATTAGACATCGGAATTTCTAATTGCCCTCTCTGCGAAGAAATTCCTGCTAATGCCCAAATAGACTATTTATACAGATATTCGGATTTTCAGGGGTTAACTCTCCTAATCTCATCCATCCCTCGGAGAGAGGCACTAATTAAAAACAAAGCAGGGAAAACCGTCCAGCACGAATTATCTCACGGAAAGGAAAAAAAAAAAAAGAAGAAAAAAAGATAAAATAATATCCGCCTCTCCGCACGAGACAAAACTGCCTCTTCCCCTTTTTTCTCCCCTGGCCGCGCTTGGCATCACCATCACCGAGCCGGCGGGGCCGTGCCGGTACCAGCGGCGGCGGCGGCCACGACAACAAGCGGAGGGGCCGGGCTTTGCGGGGAGAGGCGGGTCCTGCCACCTCCCCCCGCCCGCTGAAGAGCCGCGGCGAGGGCGGGAGGGCGGCACAGAGCGGGGAGGCAGCGGCGGAGCATCAGCGCGGAGCCAGCGCAGCATCAGCGCAGCGCCGCGGGCCGGGGCTCCAGCGCGGCTCGGCCGGCAGCGCCGGGCACCCACCTGCCCTCCCTGCTCCTCTCCTCCTCCTCCTCCTTCTTCTTCTCCGGGACTCTCCGCTGGGATCGGCCCCGCCGCTGGTGGTGGTGTGTTGTTGTTGGCCGGCGCGGCCACATCGAGGATATTTTGGCTGCCGGCGCCTCGTTGTTTTGGACTCTCTGCTCCGTGTGCCGGTGCCGCCGCCCCGGGAGGGACGCTCAGGAGCGCCGGGATAATCGGGGGCCAGGTGAGGCGGGGGCGGCCGCGGGGAGGGAAGGGGAGGGAGAGAGGAAGGGGGGCGGCTCGTCGGTGCGACCCCGTTCCGTGTCCGAGCGCTCCAGCCCCTTCCATGTCCGGGTGCTCCAGCCCCTTCCTCGCCGGAGCGCCCCGATCGCGCCTCTGCCGAGGGGTCTCCGCGTCCCCCCCCGGCGATGCCCATCACAGCCCCCGCATCCCCCGCACCCCCTGAGCGGCCTCCCCCGGGGGCGATGGTGGAGCTGCGGGCGGAGGGACCCGGCAGGAAGGGGTTAATGGGCAGCGCGCTCTGGATTTGGTTAGTACTTTAAAGGGACTCGAAAAAAAAAAGAAAAAAAATGTTGGGCTGTGTGATCTCCCCCATCGAACTTTCATGTGGGCGAAGTGTGTCATGTGTGCGAGAAGTCATGCCGGCTCCCGGCTATCTCCCGCTTGGGGAGCTCGGGGGCTGCGCGGGGAATCAGTGCTCCGGTTGTCTCCTAACCTATTGCTAGGGAACTGAGTTGGGTTGGTTTGGGTTTGTTGTTGGTTTGTTTTTTTTTTTTTTTTTGGTCTGAAAAAATTGCCATTTAAAAGAAAACGACAACCAGACGCGTTATCCGCACTCTCCTCCCCTCCAAAAAAACAAAACAAAACAAAAAAAACCCACCATATATATATATAAAAAAACCTCAAGAAAAAATAACAGTAGATGTACATTAGATACGTTGAGGACACCAGCACGCCTCGGTTCTCCATGTGGATGCTTCCCAGATGAATCCAGCTGTGGGCAAGCACCTGGCTGTTGCTGAAAAGAAGAGCGATCAGAATTCAGGAGTATTAGTTAATAAGTGCCTGATCCTGTTGACCCTGTTCTGGTTCACCCACTCAGCTATGCGGGGGTGTTGAAGAAGGTGTCCTGCCAGTTAAACCAATTATAGCTGGCAAGCAGCAGTCATCAGCATTAGTGGAGGAGCTGGAGGTGAGGCCCAGTCACACCGGAGTGTTTTCTGAACTTAAACAGCAGCTTTCTAAGCCCAGCAGAAAGGCAGCTTTTAACCCCTCTGTGCCGTGAAAATCCACGCTGCCTGTTTTCAGCTCTGCGTGCCCGGCGATAACTCCGCAAGGGTTCCGTATCTCGGGGCGGGGAATTTGTGCTGCAGATGGGAGAAAGCTGGTGTGCGATGAGCAGAGGACGTAGAAATTCCTTTGTTGGAGGTATTTGGTCGGAGGAGGAAAGCTGGAGTGTTGCAAAACACGCTGAGGATCTTCGTATGTTACTCGGCTGGTCTAGTTTTGTCAAAGCTTTCCTTCCAGCAAGGCCGTGGAGCAGCCTAGCATGGAGTAACAGGGGCTTGGGTTAATGAGCAATCCAAAAGGTATAAACCTTTTGTTTTAGGGCCCTAAACATCTCTAAAGAAACAAACAAACAAACACAAAAAAAAAAAAAAGCCAGGAAAGAGAGTATCCCAGTGGGAAAATGACTGTTAGGATTTGTGGAGAGGTCAGCATTGCACACAAGTGCCAGAAATCCTATTTCTAGTCCTAGCCGGGGGTCAGACCTAAACTTGCTGAATATACATAAAATATGTTCCCAAATACTTTCAAATCTCTTAAGTTTACAGCCAGTTATCCCTGGATACCAGAGCAGAATTCAAAGGCAAAACAAAAGGGAGTTAAAAATCTCTGTTTACTTTTTAAAAAAAACCGAACACAAGGATAAACAGTTGTTTAAACTGTGGCAAATTTAATGAACAGATTAGGATGCTTGCTGAGTGAGACTCACGCTGTGTAAAATTCTTTGCTGCTCAATGAGATGTGTAATTTAGATCAAATATTTGTACGTGCTGTTTGAGGTAAAAAACATCATTCAGTAGATTGCACTTTTTGGGTAACGCTAATGAATATTCTTCTCAAAGTCAGTTGTTTTATTTTATTTCAATTACAAACCCGATATTACTGTCTGGTAACAGTGAAGTTGAAACAGGCCTTTCAGGTTAAGGACTGCTGTCATTTTTTGTTTTATTTTTTAATTTTTATTAGCAAGTGATCAGCTGTTTAAGAGGATGAAAGGGCTCCTTGTCTTTGGCTGTTGGATGTTTTATTTCCCTCTCTGTTTATATGGACAGCTTTTGAGTGTGCTGTCACTTTTAACAAGCTGGGCTCGTTTTGTTAAGCTCCTAATTTGCCACCTTTTTCCGAATTTAAGATTGTATCTACTTATTTCCTTGTGGTAACACGGCTGATGAGAGAACTGGCTTGTAATAAGTGATCACAGTTTTTTGTGGAAATACTGATAGTGCCTTATGTGGCTATTTAAATACAAGTGCATGTTTTCAGGCAGTTTTTGGGGAGCAAGAGAACTTAGCCCAGTGCTGTGAAAAAGGGGAAGGAAAATTGTCGTGAGTGTAGCCTGATAAGGTATCATTCACCGACACCTGAATTGCAGCATCACACTAAACCTGAACAATAGGCCATAAAACTGGCTTTATTCCTTATGTTTCATCTCTCCCATAGGTCAGTAAGAGGATATGAATCTTAGCACTCTTTTCCTTAAGTGATACATGGGAGGACAAGTTACACAGGCCTCTCACAGCCTTATTCCTGGTAATAAGGGTGATATGATAAAGCTTTGACTTCAGTGGCATCAACCTGCTGATAGTGGTCTCATTATCAGCTCTTTAAAAAGGGTGTTTTGCTGTATAAACCCATTTGAGTCAAAACTCAGGCCCTCTAGAGCTTTATCAATATGTTAATCCTGTGTTTAGAAAACGTGCCAGGGTGACATGGTTGTGACATGGTTTGGAGATGCTCTGCCTGGTAAAGGCAGGAGGTTCCTGGTGCTGAGTACTGGCTTCAGTGATTATTCAGAACGGGGTGAGAGGGGTGAATGCAGTAGGTGAAGGTGTATCTCTCTCACTCCTCTTCCTTCCCTTTGAAAGCCAAAATCTGAAGTGAATCATGGCCTGTGAGTGGGAATACAGTAAGCAAAAATAACACGAAGCTGAACGCTTAAGATAATGGGTGAAAGCTGGAAAAGGTCCAAGGAAATAGATACTTGGTGGGCAAAGGAATTCTGTGGGCTTTTCAGACTTAGCAGAGTCTTTGTGAAAGCTCTTCCAGTTAAAAAGCAGGATGGGAACTGTGCCCTGTGTGGTTGGGATGTTGGCAGTGAGAAGGAAAGCTTTGCCCGTGTCTCGTTCCGTGAGCTCTTCCATGGTCTGTTCACATCTGTTCACATCTGCTCGCTTCCTACATGGCAGTATTTTTTTTCATGTGACCCCTCTCATTTTTCAGATGAGTGATTTTGGGATCAGAAACATGGATCAAGTCGCTCCTGTGTCGAACATGTACAGAGGAATGCTCAAGGTGAGTTCTCCTGAGTTGCCACCTCCTAAACCCGCCTGGGGCATCTCCCAGCTGATGAATTTAGTCGTGTTCTTATTGCACAGGGATTGGATGAGGCGGGTTTTGATTGAAGGGGAACACAGGTTTTAACTGAAACCTCGTACCCCCTCATCTTCCAGAGTATCCCCCCTGAGTTCCATAGAGGTGTGAAAAGCAGAACTGAAATAGGAAGGTGTAAATCTTGCCCCCTCAACCCTCTTCCCCAAGGAGGTTCCCTCTCTGTAAATGCTGAGATTTTGAAAGTGAGAGGTAGATAAGGACTGAGCTCAGATTTGTTGTTGGTGATGGAACTTGGGCTTAAATCAAGGTTAAAGGATGGGCACCAGGGGTGGTCTTTGTGTTTGAGATTAGCAGAGAGCTGTTCTGATAGACTGGTTGGGTTTGGTACATTCCCAAGCATTGTATGGAATAAAAGTAGTTTTTTCACTTACTACTTGCAACTGTTATTAATGGAAATCCATTACATTGTGGGGAAAAAAAAAAAATTTAAAATATCTTTAACCTTTAGATAGACTGCATCTGTTATCTTGTTTTGAGAGGGATTTACAAACTGAGATTCAGCATTTAAGGCTTTCCCTCCTCCCCATCCATGCAAGTTGCATTTCAATCCCAGTATCAGTTTTTCACACAGCACTGATTAATGTAAACCAAATAAAGGTTAGGGAGGCACTTTTGGCTCTCATTGGTTTTGAGGAATGTCTGTGTTTTGAGGAACCAGTCAGTGAGACTGGTGTGCTGACTGCTCTGGTGTCTTGTGTCCCCTCTTAGCTTTTCTTTTCCTCCTCACAGCAACAATAAAATCCAAGAGATCCCCCAACTTAACAACTGTGTGCTCTCTAACACAGTGGTTGTTTTAAGCAGTTATTCAGTTATCATAGAATTAAGTCAAAGTAGAGAGCTGTATTTTGCTATTTTGTAGCTGTTCACATATTTAATTCTGTACTAATTACTCTTATGTTAAAAGGCCACATAAAATAGTTGCATAACTGATAGGACAAGCAGACTTCATTCTACATTGTTTTTCCCTTTTTAGTACTATTAAATCAAGAACCTGCTTAAACATTAATCTTCTCCTTTTTGAAATATGAGACTAGCACAGTATGGATTTTACTCATTCACATGCCACAGCATTTTTTCCAGTGACTCAGGATAAGGGTCAGCTATTTACACAAAATGCAGGAGTTTCCAGATTGTGTTGAAAGAACTTGCCCTTTCTTTGAGGTGCTGGTGATGACTCAGTGCTTTTATCTAGTAATGTATAAAGAATCTTTTACCAGCAGATTTGGCAGCTCTTATTAACTTGTTTTATTCAGTTGGGGTTGGCTCTGACTCTGCCTGGGGGTTACCTGACCCAAAAGTACACAGTTTTGTCTCTGCTGGCCAGGAGGTTTCTGAACCATTAACCAAGGCATGATCCTGGTTGTGGTGACGTGAAAAGTTTGGGATCGTGGAGGAACATTAACGCTCGTTTGCTGTTCCAGGAACACAGTTCAGATCACTTTTGCGTTGCACATAAACACTGCCCTGAAGAATCTGTGCCTTGTCCTCAGCTAAATCCTCTCCCTTGGCATCAACTGGCAGACCAAGCGTTTGCCTGAAACAAATAAGCATCTGCAAGTTTGTCTCCAGCTCCCTGAGCTGCAGTGGCTGCCATGAGCAGGCTGTGGTTTTCCGGAACAATGTTCTATCCTCAGGTGCTTTTAAAAAATCTCAGTGGCAACTTCGTATCCATGTGTGCCTCCAGATACTGCAGATATGGGTTCTTTGTGACTAACAGGGAAGTTGCATAACTTGTTTTTTTCAAGTTATTTCCTCCTCTCTTAACATCCCTTCTGCCCCCCAAAGACTTAAGTGGATGGGGGATCTCATAAGGCACCAGTGGTTCCAGCACACACACACTGGCACGTGTGTCAGGCTGAAAGGATTAAAGTGTTCAAAGTACAACAATATTTATTGAATGTTGTCAACATAACAATAGAATCCCCTTTTATCTGGAACGCCTTCGTCAGTCCTGTTTGTCCCTTTCTGGGTAATGAAACTGGAAATGTTTCGCTGAGCACTTGAAAGACTGCAAATCCAGCAACTCAAGAAATATAAAAATCTCAGCAAAGGAGTAACATCTTTCCCCAAGAGCTTCTAAACTGGCTGTATAGCTTCAAGTTATGTGGTTCAGATAAATTTTTTCCTTTCTTTTTTTTTTTTTTTTTTACAAAATAAAAGCTGCATAAACCTACTGCAGCTCTTACCCTGGCAGTGGTTTTCCTGTGATTTACTGCTCCTGCCTCTGCTAGTAAGTGGGCAGTCAATGTAAAGAGTTAAGGGAATGAGGATTTCTTTAAAATTTACCTGGAAATAAATATATATATATGTGTGTATATATATATATACACACCACATGTGCATTCTCTATTGTTAAAAGCCTCGATTCCAGGAAAACTAAAACTAAGAATATCCTTCTTTGGCTTTGGTGTAACCTGCAGAACATCCACCCACCTCCCACCCGTGGCTGGGTTTTATCCACGGACAAGCAGCTGTGCCCTTTCAAAGGCACGAGTTCGAGGCCGTGGTTGCTCTTGGTGTCTCCAAACGTAGCAAACCCAGCCCCAGCCGCTTCCCAGCAGAGCAGCTCACGCTTCTGGAGCGAAATGCTGACGTTGTTTCCCGTTTGTTCTGTTGCTTTGCAGCGTCAGCCGGCGTTTGACACCTTTGACGGCTCCAGTTCGCTCTTTGCTGGGTATTTTTTCTCGCTCAACGAGGACCAAACGCTTCAAGAAGTGCCAACGGGATTTGATTCCACTTCTTACGGTAACTCTTCCTTTTGCTCCTCAGTCTGGTCAGCAGGTCAGGAATTTGAGGGGTCTGACTTAGCATCTCCTGGCTGTGCTTTTGCAAGTGCAAAAAGTGGATTTCCCTAGAAAGAAGTGGGGTTTTATCTTTTATCTGTCTTTTATCCATGTGAGTTGCTCTCTGGATAGTTGCTGTTTTCTGTGCTGAATGGGAATAAAAACTAGGATTCAGTAGCTTTGTAGATTGACTCTTCACAGGAGAAGCCTTAGCAGGTGTTAAAGCAGAACTAAGAGCTGAAAAACCTTGAGGAAGTTTTATGTGTTTTTAAACTTGCACCATCTCAACCATAATTAAGTTGCAAGCGCTCTGCAAGCTCCTTTTTTTGAACCTCTGGTGTTAAATCCCAGTATATTTTATTCCATGCCTTAAAAAAAAATGAGATGGAGATGTTTACAGATTTTCTGACTTTATTTCTGTCTAGGACAGTATTTCCCAAGAGTTCTCTGCGAATCCTTGCCTAAAATGCCTAAAAAACAGGGAGCTTTGCACAAAATGTGGATATTTTACCTGATGCTGCTTTTATCTCGCTTAAGGGAAGGGAAAACCAAACCTCAGAAAGCCACAGGTGCTTTGTTGTAATGTGATTGTAATCAGTCACCTGCTCTGGTCAGCAAAGCAAGTCCCAGCAGATATTGGGAAGGGTGTGGTAAGGACAGAAGTTAAGCACAGGCTGGGCCAAGTGGAGCCTGTAGATAGTCTGGGAGAGCAAGGAGAGCTGCAGAAATTCATCCCTGGAAGTGTCCAAGGCCAGGTTGGATGGAGCTCTGAGCAACCTGGGCTGGTGGAAGGTGTCCCTGCCCATGGCAGGGGTCTGGAACTGGATGAGCTTTAAGGTCCCTTCCAACCCAAACCATTCTGTGATAAACTGAGGCATCTTCTGGTGAAAATTGCCCAATATAAAACACTGAGTGGAAGCCAAATTTGGCCTTAAAATGAGATCTGCTTGTACATTTAAGGATCAGTTAAGTAGATGAGTGATTTATGCTGGTGTATAATGGTGCCAACTTTGTGTTTTGTTGCATTATTTACCCCCTTGGTACCAACTTGTTGCCAGTCACAATTGTTTGGTTCAGGTGATAGAAAAATCTATTGAGCCACGTCCTTGGGTGATGGAGAGATGCCTGGGAAGGTCTGAAATACAGCGTTAAAATGGTGCAGGCTGGCTCCCCACAACCTTCCTGTCAGTTGTTTAGCTCTCAAACTAATTGAAGACTGGACTTACAAAGAAGTCAGGGGTCAAATCATAAGTGGCAAAATAGGAATGTGCGATCTCATTTCCTTAAAAACACCACCCAAAAGCAATAGTAAAGTTTCCCTGCAACAAAAGGCACTTAATGTAAGGACTAGGAGTAAATAAGCATCATCTGTGTCATGGAAAGCTGCAAAGCTCCAATTAGTGATTCAGTCTTATCAAATGAGTAGCACAGAGATTTTAGGAGATGGATCTCTGCTTTTTGTCTCTGATTTTAAAACCCCGACTTCCCAGCCTCGTTTTTGTGCTTCAAATAGCAAAAAAACCCTGTTTTCTTTCACTGGCTCGAAATGTAATGTATCTTTTTCTCCCCTCCACCCCTTCTCTTTCTTGCAGAGTCCAACAACTGTGAATTGCCTCTGTTAACCCCGTGCAGCAAGGCTGTGATGAGTCAGGCCTTGAAAGATACTTTCAGTGGTTTCACAAAGGAACAGTGTCGGCTGGGTATCCCAAATAGTAAGTGTTTTGCTATTTATAAGCTTTTTTTTTTTTTTTTTTTTTTAATGCTAAGGGGGAGGCTGAATAGCAGCTCTTTGAAAAGAGAAAGGATGATGTCAGTAGGAAATACAAGAATGGATCCTATGTGAATCTGGCACAGCTTGACTTGGAAAGCCCAGACTCGCTGGTATTAAAAAAAAAAAAACAAAAAAGGGTGCATGGAGAGCTCATGTTTTGGCAGCATGAGAGAGAATCAGCTAAGCTGAGAACATCCAAGTGAATGCAGAAGGAAAAGAGAGGACTGTGGGGTTTTTAAATTCAAACCCACACTCATTCTGAACTCACTGGGCACTAAGTAACTTGTGCAATCTATTTTTTTTAAATTCACTGCTTTCTAGCGAAGATGATCTGACAAAGGGCAGGATTTGCCTCTAAATGCTCTAAGTGTCCTTTCTGTCTTGCAGATCCCTGGCTGTGGACTGAACAGCAGGTTTGCCAGTGGCTTTCATGGGCTACCAATGAGTTTAGCTTGGCAAATGTGAACTTCCACCAGTTTCTTATGAGTGGCCAAGACTTGTGCAACCTGGGCAAGGAGCGTTTCCTGGAACTGGCACCTGACTATGTGGGTGATATTCTGTGGGAACACCTGGAACAGATGATAAAAGGTAGTTAGAGAGCCAGAAAGAGATTTTTTTTGTTTAGGGCTCTGCCCTGACAGAAACTGAAATGGGGCCCTTTTTCAACAGTGGTTTCACTATGAAGGGCTTTTATTACACATGAACTGTAAAACTTGGTTAATATTATCAGAACTGTTAATATGTCCTCGGTGTGCCAAAGCACAGATGCAGATAGCTGCAGGAATTCTGTGTTCAGGCTGTTGGGGTCAGGTTTTAATATGGGAAAAATAATTGGAATAAATGAGCTTAGGATAAGACCACTGTAAATACCTCGTTAAAAACAGTTAACCAAGAGTTGGACCTTAAAACACCCTGCAGTTATTGCTGTTTATCAGTTTTATGTTAAAGTTCAATTGGTGTGATGGTTTTCAAGCCTGTTGGAAGCTGGTTGGGTGTTTTGGGGTGGTTTCTGTCGAGAGAAAGAATGCAATATTGTGTCAGTAAAATTTCTGTGAGTGTTGGCCCCGAAATACTCAAAAGATTCAGAAGCTTTTCACGGCACACAGGGCATATCTTCAAAACTGTAACCCCCAAATTTCCTTTTTCTCCTCTCCCCAGACAGCCAAGAGAAAACACAGGATCAGTATGTGGAGAACTCTCACCTCACCTCTGTTCCTCACTGGGTCAACAATAATTCGTTAAGTAAGTATTTTTTAAAAATTGCCATCTTTTTTCATCTTTCAGCTACTTCTAAGGAATGTCACAGATTCCACTGTAAAAAAACAAAAAGCACCAGAATAGTTCCTGTGCTCGAGGAGAACATTTGAGTTCAATTGCTGCAGCCTTCTTTCCTTGTATTGTTTAATTGTCATCTAATTTATATCGGAAATCTTTTGAAGAGCAAAGGCTCGGAGAAAATTAAATTTCCTCTCGGGAGTGCCAAACCCTCCATCTGTGGAGCAGAATGACCACTCCCATCTGCAGAAAACAGGGGCAAAAACTACCATCACTGGGAAGCAGCAAGAGTTATGTTTAGGCTTTTTAAAGGCTGGGGAAGTGCAGTTGGAGCTTTTGGAAGTGTGTGGGATGCAGTGCTGGCTCCCTCAGATCGCTTGATTGATGTTGTATTTTATTCTGCCACAGTCTTCAGCTCAACCTGATTACACCACTTAACGGTGAGGGCCTTACTCAAAACCACTTAAACTTCCTCTTTTTTTTTGTCCTCCAGCCCTGTAGTTTCCTTGGAGAACAAACAATAGATGTTTGTGGCTGGCAAGTTACAGAGGGAGATTTGCAGAATCTGATTTGGTGTATTTAGTGCATTAGTTTGTTTAAGGGTCTGCAGGGAAAATAATCTAATTCTTTCGTTTCTTTTTTTTTTTTTCAGCTGTTAATGTAGATCAGAACTCCTATGGAATGCAGATGCCTGGATACCCTAAACCCCTCAGTTATCCCAAACCCAACCTCCTGACTGACGTCTGTCAGACCTCCACGGCACCGAATCTCCTCAATCCAGAACAAGAGTTTTCATTGTTCCCTAAAGCCCAAGCAGATGCTGTTGGTGTGAACTACTGTGCAGTAAACCAGGATTTCCCAAGGAACAACCTGAATTTGCTGATGGATAATTCTGGTGAGTCATTATCTGCATGTGTTTTCCTCCTTTGAATAATTTATATGTGCAGGGTGGATTGAGGAGGAGGGGGAAAAAACACTGACAATTCATGCATTGTTTTTTATTTTATTTTATAAAGGTAAGCTGAGAGAACACGAATCCAGTGACAGTGGTGCAGAAAGCTATGAGAGCTCAGATTCCATGCTGCAGTCCTGGAACAGCCAATCTTCCCTAGTGGATTTACAGCGTGTGCCATCCTATGAGAGTTTTGAGGATGACTGCAGCCAGTCCTTGTGCCTGAGCAAACCTACAATGTCTTTCAAAGACTATATTCAAGAAAGGAGTGATCCTGTGGAGCAAGGGAAACCAGTTATACCAGCAGCCATCCTGGCTGGCTTCACTGGTAAGTTGTGGAGCGAAATGGTCACTCCTCCTCTTCTTAGGTAACATCAGTATTCCCCACAAGTCCATAAGTGCGTGCCATGGGGGTAGAGACCACTAGTCAGGAAGGTTTTCAGTTTTAAATGTCACTAAACAAAGTCTCATAGGATTATCCACCCCCAGCAAGAACAGGCAGGTATGTCAGGACACAGGAGAATCAAATACACTTGTTGATCTGTTTGACAAAGAGGGAAACTTGGACACAGTCTCCCACATTTGGGAGTTTCCACAGGTGTTGGCTTGCTTGTTAAAGCCTTATTCTCATAGTCCTTGCTGAAATTGGGTTTTGCTCCAAAACATTTGCCAAGTTGAAGAGTGCAGGACAAGCCCTGGAGCTTGAAATGCAGCTGGCTGGGAGGTGGGAATGAGAGATGAGGGATCCATGTGAAAGGGGAAAGACAGAACTTGAGTCAAATCCTGTGTTTCCATGAAAAAGCTGACTTGTTTTAATTTTAACGTGTTGAGGAGATTTGTGCTATAAAATAAAACCTTGGGTTTCTTTCTGATTTTAAAAAAAAGATAAATCAGAGTAATTACAAGATCTGTTCCGTGATACAAGTCTGGTCACATGCACTTGGTTGTAGGAGTGTTAATTATGGTTTCTACCTCTCTCTCTCTCTCTCCCAACAGGCAGTGGACCCATACAACTGTGGCAATTCCTGCTGGAATTACTGACTGACAAGTCCTGTCAGTCATTCATTAGTTGGACAGGAGACGGATGGGAATTTAAACTGGCTGATCCAGATGAGGTACGTGGCTACTCGTGGTGAACAAAAAGATTTAGGGGTCTGAACTGCCATCTGAAATGAAGGATTTTGGAAACTTTTAACTGTGGTCATTAAAAATAAATAGGATGCACTTTCATTTTCTGACGCTGTTATCAGCAGGGAAGTTGTTTTATTGAGAGATGGGATATAAAGTCCACTGAAGCCTTTTTATTAAAGAGAGGGAGGAGGGATAAATAATTAACTCCAAGGAACTTCATATCATTCAACTCCCAGTCCTGTGGTGCTTAGTAGCAAATCAGTGGTGAAATGCTGTTTTCCTGAGGGGGCACACAATGTGCCAGAGTTCCAGCAGTGTTTGGATGATGCTCTCAGGCACATGGTTGGATTTTTGGGGTTATCCTGTGCAGGGCCAGAAGTTAGACTTTGGTTCTTGTGGGATGCCTCCAACTCAGGATATTCAGTGGGTTTTTGTGGGTTGTTTTTTGTTTGTTTGTGGTTTTTTTGTTTTGTTTTGTTTGGTTTTTGGGTGTGGTTTTTTTTTTTTTTTTTTGATGTTGTCCTGTGCAAGGCCAGAAGTTGGATATGGGTGACCTTTGTGGGACCCTTCCAATTTGGGAATATTAAGTGATTCTGGGGGTTGTCCCATGCAGACTTGGCAGTTAGACTTTGATGATCCTTGGGGGACCCTTATAACTTGGGTTATTCAGTGATTTTTGAGATTGCCCTGTGCAAGGCCAGGAGCTGAACTTTGAACCTTGTGGGACCCTTCCAACTTGGGTTATTCAGTGATTTTTAAATTTTTATTATTATTATTATTAGCTTTTTTTTTATTTTTGGGGAGAGGTGTCCTGGGCAAGACTGAGAGTTGGACTTTGATGATCCCTGTGGGATATCCAGTGACTTTTGGGGTGTCCTGTGCAAGGCCAGGAGTCATTCTCCGATAATCCTTGTTGGGTACCCTTCCAACTCGGGATATTCAGTGACTTCCCTTAAGAAATTCCTTCACTGCAGTGAAACCCCTTTAAAAATTTGGTCTCCTCAAGCACGTTTTGGCCCATCCCCTGTGAACTGGTATCACTTTTTTCAGTGACCTTAATGCCTGGCGTTTATCCAAGCAGAAAAACTCCTATAAAATCCTTTTTTTTTCTTTTTTTTGGCTTCCCTTTCAGGTGGCCCGGCGGTGGGGGAGGAGGAAAAACAAGCCCAAGATGAACTACGAGAAGCTGAGCCGGGGCCTGCGCTACTACTACGACAAGAACATCATCCACAAGACGTCGGGGAAGCGCTACGTGTACCGCTTCGTCTGCGACCTCCACAACCTGCTGGGCTACACGGCCGAGGAGCTGCACGCCATGCTGGGGGTCCAGCCGGACACCGAGGACTGAGCCCCCCTCTCCCCACCCCAGGGTGTGGGAAGACCACCTGGAGTGGAGGACTCCGTGTGTGTGTGTGGGAGAGCCCCTTCTCCCGCCCGCTCCGGCCCGGCCGCCGCTCCTGGGGGAAATCGGGACCTTGGCGGGAGGCCCCGGAGGAGATTTTTTTGGCCTCTAGGTGTGGAGGTCGGCACGGCTCCCCTTGGATCTGTCGTGGAGACACGGAAAACGCTCTGGGGATGCTCGAGGGCCGCCGTGTAATTAAAGGGGTGGCTTTAAAAACCAAAGGTTGGGTGTGTGTGAGAGAGAGAGAGGCCGGCGGCGCAGCGCGGGCGTTGTTGTGTCGCTCGGATGTTTTTAAGACACCGTCAACGTGGCGTCTTTATTACGTGAAGATTATCCATTTATTTAAAAACTGCAAAAAAAAAAAGAACCCCCACCTTAATTTATTTGAAAGGAGCAGCGAGGAGACCGATCAGTACTTTTTGGATCAGTACTTTTTGTTTTTTAAAGCACGTTTTAGTATTGTTGTTGCTGTTGTTGTTGTTGTTGTTGTTGTTACTCCAGGAATGTGCTGCACAAGGTACACAAACACTCCCGTGGCCAAAACCAGATGTAGCAACTGTTAACAAAAAAAAAAACAACAAACAAACAACAAACAACCCACCCTTTAAAAAAAAAAAAGGGAAGGAAAAATCATACCATTTCAATACTCAGTTTGTACATATTCTGTGATTCCTTTGGAAACTCTGATGTTCCTATTTAACAGATCCTGTATAGTGTAAATTAAACTAATTGTATGTGTGGTTTTGAAATAGGATGAATGTAAACTTATCAGATGTGGGTTCTGTTGGGGTTTTTTTTTTCATATTTGTCTAGGATCTACAACCTTCTGCAAATATTTAATTGGCCTGAGAGACAACAGAAGTGCTCAGTATGCATGAATATTTTGGGGGGGGGGGGAGGGAGGGGCTGGCTCAGGGTTTTGCCAAAGCTGGCAATTCTTTGTGCATTTTGGCATTTTTACAGGAAACTAATGTTGTATTCTGGGACATAAAAGGGCCTGTTTGTGGTTTCTTCTATAACCGAAAGTGAAAATATGAATATGGATAAAATTACCTTTTTTTTTTTCTTTGTAAATGGCATATGTTTTTTCAACTTCTATGCATGTACTTTTAAACAACAACAACAAAAAATTTATATACAAGCCTTATTTTTTCAGTTCACTTGTCTCTTCTTCCTGCAGTTTATTCTGTATGATTAAAATATGAATTCTATTTTTGGAAATAACTGTGACTCCTTTTCAAAGATCAGGAGGGTTTTATGTAGCAGCTATTTTTACTGCAAAAAAAAAAAAAAGGAAAAAAATCACTGGAAAAACGTACTTTGTAAGAAAGCTTTATTTTTTATCTGAGCTTGATGTACATTTAAATGTGTTGTACAGTGTGAGAGGTTTAAAAAATATGAGTCTTCATTAAAACCTCTTGAAAAGAAAATGGTGTGTGTGCTTTTCCATCTGGAAAGTTTCAGGAGGGGGTCCTTTCTTTATTTTTTGTTGGTTCAACCCTTGTCCTCTGCAGGACAGAAGAAAGTAACCCCCAAAAACCCCAAACCATCCAGAATTAAAGGTTGTTGGAGAAAATACTGTGAGAGTGCAGGGGCTGGTGGGCTTGAGCCAAGCTCAATGTATGCAACCACTCTGTGTTTAGATATAAATTCAAGTTAACACCTTTGTGTTGTGCCTCTGAAAGAAAAATATCAGTTGTGGGGTGCGAATCTGAGTGTAAAGTGATGGGTGAATATATGGAAAAACAGAGGTGTTGAGATGCTTTAGCTTAAACTGTTCCTGTCTTTATCTCATAACTCTTCTTCAGCCCTCCAGAAAAGCAGGAAATGTGGAAACATTCGTGCATATTTTAAAAGTCAAAAATGCCATTATTAAATGATTCCTCTTGGCCTCTTGATCTTTCTGTCTACCAAACTTGCCTGGCCTTGTTGTTGCTTTCTGCACAGTCACTCTGGTGTGGCAGCATGTTAAAAACCAGGGGTTTGGGGGTCTTTTTTTTGTGTTATGTGGCTTCCTAAATGGAAGGAGCTGAAAGGATAGGCACGTGTCTTGTAGCATGGCCCTGGTTCTGAACAGCTGCAGACACTTTTTCAGCCTTACAGCCTTACTTTTCCTCGTCCCTGTGAAGGAAAAGAATCATAAAATGGCTTGGATTGGAAGGGACCTTAAAGATCATCCAGTTCCACCCCCTGCCATGGGCAGGGACACCTTCCACTAGCCCAGGTTGCTCCAAGCCCCATCCAACCTGGCCTTTCCAACCTGAATGATTCCATGATCCTGTTCTACGAAACCCCAGTCTCCTACCTGGATTGGGCCTGTGCAGCAGTTCAAGCTGTAACCCAGTGTGACCCAGAAGACAATTCTTAAAGGATATTTTGTCCCACAGAAAGCACAGCTCTGTTTTCTCAGCCACCCAGCATCAAAGAGGCTGTTGAAAGCAGTCTGGCTAAGTTCTTCACCTTCTCCAGGACATGCCTCCCTGCCCTTCCAGCTGCCAGCTTTCCTCATGAGACAGCAGTCAAAATAAAGTCTTGCACTTGGCACCTACCCACAGCTGGCATGGCACCTCTAATAACAAACTTTGTCTTCAAAGTCTTGTTTTTCTTTTTTTCTTTAAAAAAAAAAAGAAAAAAGTAGAATCCCATCCTAAAGAAAACAACACCTCTGGGCTGGGAAATCTGTAAACCACAAATGCTCCATGTCCAGGAGGCTCTTCTGGGAAACATTTGTGTGCTGCACCCTGTTCCCAGACTCACCTCAGGTCTCAGCTGCCAGGTGCAGGTGAGGAGCATGAGAATGGGGCAGAGGATGGATCAATTATCCCAGTACTTTACCTCCACCAGTGGGAGAAGGATTGAGTAAACCTGGCCACTCTCTACTCGCTATTCTTCAAGCATTGGAGAGCAGCACCTCACCCGGGGTCTGAGGTGAGGGCACACCAAGGTTTTGCTCAGCAGTGCAAGACAAAGATTTCTTCTCAATACCCTTTCTCATGGCACCTTCTGCTTTTTTGGCTTTTTGGCACATTGAGCTGATGATTTCAGAGAGCTGTCAGTGGTCCATTTTCTAGTAGCTACCATTTCCAAGTGTAGCATCTCATCCCCCGAGGTTGGGTTATTCTTCCTGGGGTGTATTTCTTTAAATTAACCTCCACTGATGGTGAAAATTAACCTGCCACCTTTTTGTCATCTCACGCCGTGTTTTGAGGTTCCTCTGGAGCTCCTCACCAGCACTGTGGCATTTGACTCCTCAAACTACTCAGCATCATCTGCAGACCTGGAGGATTCACAGTCCCCTCACCAGCCTGGGATTTCTGCCCCTGGTGGCTGATAATGTGCCAAGGACCAAGAAGTTTCCAGTTCCCAGCTCTTCCACACACAGGTTTCTGGTTGGCTCCAGGTAAGACACTTCAAGACAGATCCTCTGCTGCTCTTCTAGTACCTATAAATGAATAAAAGGAAAGAAAGAGAGAAAGAGAGAGAGAGAAAGAGAGAAAGAAAGAAAGAGAGAAAGAAAGAAAGAAAGAAAGAAAGAAAGAAAGAAAGAAAGAAAGAAAGAAAGAAAGAAAGAAAGAAAGAAAGAAAAGAAAGGAAGAAAGAAAAAGAAAGAAAGAAAAAGAAAGAGAAAGAAAGAAAGAAAAAAGAAAGAAAGAAAGAAAGAAAGAAAGAAAGAAAGAAAGAAAGAAAGAAAGAAAGAAAGAAAAGAAAGGAAGAAAAAGAAAGAAAAGAGAACTCTTTCACTTCCTCTTCTGCACTCAACCAGAAGCACCAAGGTGATGTTCTGACACATCTTTTTTGGGCTTGCCCTCTCCCTGAGCAGGTTGTGACCCAACACTCTTGTACAGCAGGACAAGATCTGGCGATGAACCAGAGCAGCAGCAGTTGTGGAACATGGAAGCACAGCATCTGTCCCTCGAGAGAGTTCAGTCAAGTGCTTTATAAATGCCAACCAGACACTGGATCCTCTTGTAGTTTTTGCCAAAAAAGCCTCTCGGAACTGAAAGGGAAGGGAGAACCAAAAGCCAGTGTACAAGTTCCCGTGGCCAGATCTCGGCCATCGTAGTTTATCTCGTGTCTCGTGTTTCTCCTCTTCTCTGTGTGGAGCTGAGCCCTCCTGTGTTCACACCACCATGTGACTGCAGCAGCGTTCATATGCCAGACACGTGAATGCTCCAAAGGTTAAAGAGGGAATAAAAGGTGTCCCTGTAACCAAGAAGAACAGAAAAATTCAGCCAGGGGTGTCTTTGGGAAAAGATATCCAGGATCTCGTGTGCGGTGTGTGCCATGTGATGCGCAGGCTGAAGCCACACAACGAGGGAAGTTATTAAAAATAATTAGGGCAGGTTGGCCAATGACAGCATGATTTGCTCTGTGCAAATTGAGATTTTCAAGTGGTAAGTCTTGGCCACGAATAAGAGAGTTTTGAGATAATTCTGCGGGCTGGGAAAGAAGCATCACAACTCGCCATTTTCTTCCGTCTGCCTCTACTTCTCCTGGCAGTTACGAGGTAAATGATGAACTCAACAAAACATAATGATTAACCAGTATAAGAAGTGCAATGAAACATCTGCACATGCTTTTCCTTTCTGGAAAACCAGGGCTGGGCTCGTCCCCCTGAGGAATGGCCAAGGGGGACAGTGGTGGAGCAACAGCTCCTGGCCTGCTCTGTGTACAACTCCCTCCCCATGGCGGTGTCCAGGGTGGGATTGTTCTGCACACTGGAGGGTTTCCAGCACCCATCTCCCACCTTGACTGTCTCAGTGAAGTGCAGGAACGAAGGAAAGTGTTTTCCATGAAAAGTTTGCAGGTCAAAACTCAGTCCCAAGTGCAGCGACCGTAATTCCCCCTCTCCTTCAGCTGGATGTTTGAACCTGGGTCCCTGCCCATGGCAGGGGGATTGGAACTAGATGGTCTTTAAGGTCCCTTCCTACCCAAATCATTCTATGATTTTATGATTATTAAGCTAAAGAAACCTGTTCCTACATGGCTGCCTCCCTTTGGCCCGACGTATCTTGAACCAAACTTCTTTTTCCTTTCCTAACTTTCTTTCTTTTTAATTCTTTTTTTTCTTCCCTGACAGAAGGCAAAGGACAATCTGGCAGATGCAGTTCCCCCATCGAGCTCCCTCCCATTCACAGGGAGCTTTCCTTCCCTCACAGGTTGCTTCCTGCCCTGCGGAAGGAGGGGAGTTCTTCCAAAAGAAATATCATTCCTCCTACAGTGCCTTTGAGCAGACCTGTTTGTTTGTTTTTCCCTGTCTGGAATGCCAGCCCCCCCCCCCGCTCCCCGGGAGATGCCAAGAACACAAGTCTCTCCCTGAAGTCAGGACTGGGTCCCAAACCCCCTTCTGCCATGTGTCCCACCCTGCAGCTCGAGCCAGTGGGGACAGTCTCTGCCTAAGGATGGGAACAGTGTCCCCAATGTCCCCTGCACAAGGCTCCTTTTCTTCCTCATCAGGAGTCTGCTGCCTTCCCAACTTCTTTCTTTTTTTTTTTTTCCCTTCTTTTTTAAACAAATACAACCATTGTTGTTTATGCAGGGAAAATTCCACTTTATCCTACAGGGGATTTGCTGGGATCCAAAGGCTCAGGATGTATCTTTTCCACAGGACAGTGCCTTCCAGGATGCACAGATCCCTTCTCCTCTCTTTCACGAGCATGGACACTTTCCACAGCACAGTGTTAAGCAATCTCTAAAATCCCCAGCTAGTGCTGTGACTGAGTCCTCACCCCATGACTGAGAGGGAAGGAAAGGGGATTCCTGCCAGGAAGGAGCCTCCAGTGAAACCAGTCCCAACCTCGAGCAGCTCCAGCCTTGAGCTCGTAAATGAGGGATTTGCCATTTCCCTTGGAGGGCATTCCCTTGCCCATCCTCAGGCAGCTGCTGTTTGGTTTGCTGCTCAGTCACAGCCACCACTGGAGTTCTGCATCCTTGTCTGGGATGCACAAGAAGAGATGTGGGCCTGTTGGAAAGAGTCCAGAGGAGGCCACTAAGTTGATCCCAGGGCTGGGAGAGCTGGGGGTGTTCAGCCTGGAGAAGAGAAGGCTCCAGGGAGACCTCAGAGCACACAAAGGGGCTACAAGAAGGCTGGAGAGGGACTTTTCACAAGGGCATGGAGTGATAGGACAAGGGGAAGTGACCTTAAACTGAAGGAGGGCAGGTTTAGACTAGATATTAGGAAAAAAAATCTTCCCTGTGAGGGTGGGCAGGCCCTGGCACAGGTTGCCCAGAGAAGCTGTGGCTGCCCCATCCCTGGGTGTGTCCAAGGCCAGGTTGGCCACCTGGTCCAGTGGAAGGTGTCCCTGCCCATGGCAGGGGTTTGGAACTGGATGTTCTTTAAGGTCCCTTCCAACCTGAAGCATCCTGTGACTGTATGAAATGACCCTTGTCAGTGGTAACCCTGGTGCTTGGGCAATTCTGACCAGCATGG